TCTCAAATAAAATGACAGATGTGTCTTCTTCAAACCATGGCAGTGATGATACTCACCTTTCCCAGCAGGAGGAGCTGTTTTAAGACCCGCCCAGGTCTTTGGCGGCTCGATCTTGTTTGGGATGGTTGGCATCCCGGGACTGGTTTCAAAGAATCTCTCAGAGTGCCTCTGGAAGCCTGGGGGATATCAGTTCCTCGTTGAGAGGATGTGGATCAGAGGTTCTCCTTCCAGCTGATGGTGAGGAGTGCAAGAATCTTCCCATCTGATTAAGAAACAGTAGGATAGGAAAGAAAATTACTTTTAGAACATTTTAAGTAAACAATTAAACAGAAATGGTACCTTTTGGAAAAAATTCTTTGATAATTCTATTTTTAATGTAAACCAGAATTAGTCATATGAAAACATGCAAAGATCTTAAAGGAGTCACACCAAGAAGCAAAAGTGTATCGAATTGATGCAAAATTCATATCATTGCGAAGGGGAAGCCTTACTGATCAAATACAACAAATTTCCTCCTGAAAATATGTTTGGGCCCGCAGAAATCAACTTTAAAAAATGTTAGTTTTGAGATCCAGATTTACTGCGATCAGCAGTCCTTCGTATGACGTCACTATTGTGACGTCACACCTTGGACACGGCTGTCTAGCTGCAGACTAATACACGCGCGACTCCGGTATGCGGCCGGTACCGAGCTGTTTGTCCAGGGTGTGACGTCACTGTTCAGAGCTCGCTACGCTCGTGTGTTTGGCTTACGTTCGGGGGCGCTTGGGGTCTAAGAAGGGTCATGAAAAATTGCATTTTACGCCTTTCCATGATATCTATATGATTTCTCAGCAAATTATTCGTGTTTTTCAAGAGAAAATCTTTCCATCCATATGTAATTTGTTCTAATTATCAGTTGTTAGTAAATTGTCTTTGTGTAGCTCCTTTAAAGAACAAGAAAGAAAAGACAACTGGCTTAATTTAATAACATAACACAAATATTTAAAAAATGGGTACGACGTGTCAAAAATCCCCTGCACTAATAATAATACTGAAGAAGACATTTTTTGTTGTTACCCTATCCAACCCTAGACAATCTCTTCAACATACAGTATCATGTTTTTGCAGATACACGTATATGAAATCTAAAACTCAGATCACCTAATTATAACATAGTTTGCATTTATAACAATTAATTTATCTTACAGAGGGTAAAAAAAGTAAAAAGGTCAAATAAATATTAAGCTTGCATAATTCTAAGATTACTGGTCACAATTAACTGTGCATTAGATTCATCCTAATACCATTCAGGCAAAGATAAGGATAAGGACTGTATTTTAACAAGAAGAATCTACATCATGACAAATAATAAATTGCACTAGATAATCCTACATGTGCAAAGCATTGTGTTCATACCAACATTCATAGTTAATATCTAATATAAGGCTCGTGTACGACAGCATTTCCAATGGCATTATCATTATTTCATGCGCACACCCAGTGAGACTCGTTTCACTTCACCTGGGGGGTGTTTCACAAAGATCTTAACTTGAACTTATCTCGAAGTTGGACTTAAATATTATGGAAAGCCTTTGGCATCTATGAGAATATTTTGTAAAAGTTATTTTAAAAGGCATCAAATGGTGATTCAAATCATTAATATTTTGTATTACCAACTGGGATTTATGTTCTTGATGTGGAATTGATAAAAAATCTAAAATACTTGAATTTTTGCTTTTGAATATATTTGATTTTAAGGCTACAAATGGCTCTCCATGATGTTTAAGTCCAACTTAGGATCTTTGTGACCCCCCCCCCCCCAGGAGTGTTGAGCCATATTATTTCAGATTAAGATTCAGATGAGTAGGCCCAATGTATACCTGTTTTTGTTGGGTGGGATTACGAGGAGGTGTCTGCTGCCCCCGTGTAAGTGTTATGTCTAGATCAACATCATCCTCATCATCATCATCACTATCATATTCAAAGCCTTTTGTGATACCGCCAGGAATGATTGCTGTAAAATAGAAGACTACACGATGTGATGAAAATTGTATATTAACACATAATGTAAATTTACATGACGCCAATATACATGTACAATCAAAGCTGTCTATAGCGACCGCTCAAGGGAAACACGAAAGGTGGTCTTGTAGACAGGGGTCTTTGTAGACAGGTTCTTTTAATACATGTTTCAATGAGAAACCATTTTCAAGGGAAACAAAAAAGGGGTCTTTGTAGACAGGTGGTTATTATAAAGCAAGCTTGACTGTATTATATATAGAACATGATAGAGGATATATGGAGTGGGCCAAAATCATACAATTAGTGATTCCTATTCTCAGATTTGATTTACAGCTTCACATATCCATGCAAATGTAGATTAAAGCAAATGCCATAAAAAAATCAAAGTGCCAGGCTTTAATTAGCTTCTAGTATTTGACCCATTACATCTGCCACTCTCTCTTCACCTATGTGTCTCTTCCTCTCTCTTTCTCTTTCTCATTTTCTCTCCCCTCTATCTCTTTCCCTTTCCGTCCTTCCTCTCGCTCTCCATCATTACAAGGTTAAAAGCAAACATAACTATAATTTCATTTCATAAAATAAGTCTGTAGGCCTAATGGTCAGAAAATAGATCCCCTTTACCTATTACACAGTGAGAAATCACCAAATCAAGAACACTTATCAATATGCAAGATAAAGTATATTTTAATGAAAGGGAGACCATATTTCGAGGCAAATCAGGAAACTGGAAATCCAACTCCAGACTGCCTACAATGCAATCACACCCACCGACATGCCAATATTTATGAAGTATGAGTGTTGGACTCACCTTTGACAGGGGCAGACCTTGCAACATATGTACGACTACTGGGCTTCATCGGCTCTCCTTGCCTTGGATAGGTTACTATGGTTTTAGGAACATGGGTGGCTCTTCTTCTTGATGCTGGTGAAGTCAGCAAGGCACCTCCTACCGAAACAAAAAAAAAACATCAAGTTTTCACAGTGATTTCTGTCGTTTGCTAGCCAATTACTTCATTCTGATGGGGATACATGTGCAATAATATCTTAGAAGTGTGACCAATATCTATTTTTTAGAAGTACCATAGAATACAGTAGCTTTATTTAAAAAAAAAATTGTTTGATGAATTTTAAGATGCCATTTGTCTTAGCATTTCCCCTGTAATGTTAAATAGAGGTTGCATAAAGCAACTCCTACTCATTATAAGTATACATGAACATGAGTAAAGCTGTTAGCCTCTCCTTTAATGAATTCTCTAAAAAGGTTTTCAATAATAAATTTCACACTTTTTTTGGGGGGGGGGGGTATTCTGTGCTCTTAGATCCAAAAGTCTAAGATCCAAATTTCCTGAAAGAATAATGGCGAATATTCAAATACTAAAGGTGATAAAAAAAAATCATTTACACTATTTTTGACCTCTCACCCAATTCAAAATAATCATTCAGCAAATTGAAATTTACTTGAACATCTAGAAATATAGTACACCTAGAGGTGTACATGTGTTTAAATGACACATCTTCAAACTGTGGATTAATTACATGGTACGCGCTTTGGCTCCCGCTATGGCACTAGTATCCTTTGGAAAGACAATATTCTACATTTGTCGCTCTCCGCCCAGGTGTTAAATGGGTACCAGTAGGAAGGAATCTCTTGAATGCTGTGAGCACCGAAATAGGTAGTCTAGCTGAGCTGGGTCGATATGTACACTATCACTATCCAATAGTATCATCATCATCAGGGCATAATGATAGAAAGAGTACCTTTTGCAGGAGTGGTCCTGTCTAAATGGTGTCTCTTGCTTCCATGTGACTGTTCAGACTCCCCCCTTGGGTTGGGGTTGTAAGGCGCCCATTCTCTTCAATGCTTTCTATCTCAGAACTCCGAGATGACATACTTGGCATTGACTCAGGGGTTGTAACACTGCTGATACTGTTAGAAGAAACACAAATTAACATTGTAAAAAGTTTGCCAACTATGAACACAGAGGTAGAAAAAGTAAAAGGTTGGAGATCTGTAGATGATTTTTCTATAAATATCAACATTGTCCACTCTTTCTATATAAATATATAAAGAAAAGTAACACTGCCTGGTAAAATTAGGGCAAGAGTTACATTGTGTAAGACTGCCTTTAATTGTGCATCGGCTGTATTGCATTACTAGTTCCCATAAATGTAACAGATGGGATATATCTTTAACATGCAAGAAACAACAAACTGTTTTAACTTACTATCAACAAGTTTTTTTATGAATAAAATATTTGTGTACCTAAGCATAGCCCTTTCTAGCATTACAGTTTCATTGATATTGCTCCTTATTTTTCTCTTCCAGATCTCAGAACATATTTTCTTACATTTCCTGAAACCAACCCCTATAATCAGGAAACAAACTCATACCTTGATCTCCTTTCAAGATGTGCAATGTTTCTGTTTTGGTTGGGTTCTTCCTCCGCTTTGTTGTTGTTGGCATGCCAACCTAGCTTTCTTCTTGTTGGTTCACGGCCCAAGTCTGGAGCACTCGCTGAAGGGCGTGCTCCCTCCTTTGGTTCACTGTAGATTCATACAATGGTGAAAATACAATGTGAATATGTAATGGAATCTGAAATGTTGTCATAAGCTCGTATTAATATCTTGATCACAAATATTAGCTATCATGACATAATGTTCACGCTCACTATCATACTGGTTTACCAGCAAGGGAAAGTAAATCAGACATTTAAGCATCATGATAAGAAGTAGATCTATGCTCGTTGTGTGAATTGCAATCAGAAATACTTTTTTAAATTCATCTTTTCAAGCCCGCAGGTCTTCAAAATTTGTTTGAAATATGAACATAACAAATATTTACATTGCAAAATATCCCACATTCACACCAAAAATATTGTGCAGTTTTTAAACGAAAATCATAAAAAAAATTAATATCATTGCTACACTTCTAGCATAGTTTTTCATCATATCTGTTTCTTTAGTAGCAGAGCTCTGGGAGCACTCACTCTTTTTTCTCTGATCCTGTTGTTTGAGTGGAGATAGAGCTTGATGTACTAAGTTGATCACTGGATTCCTCCCATAACTTGGCCTGAGTAGCCAGTACCTAGATGCTGCCTGGTAAAATTAGTGCCTCGGGACCGCTTCTGGTACTCTTTCGCCCTCTCACGTAATTCTAAGACCTGAAAGAACAGCGTTAATTATTTTTTTTAATTCTTATCCAAGTTTAATTTTTCTAATTAAAGATAAATCTGTAAATGCTTAAATTTGCCCTCTCACCTCCTAACATTACTTCCAAATTTACACAAATTTGAAGTGATATACAAACCATACAAATGAGAAATAACATTTGTCCACTTTGGAAGGTAACACAATAATGTTCCCTTTAATTGATATGACCAACAAAGGCAACAATGTAACAGTATTTGTGGAGTCTGAGAAATTTTGGATCGGCAGTTGGATGCTTACATATTAGGATATCTTCAGTACTGGGATGAAAGGAAAAATCCGAATTGTGACAAACAAATTATTGTTTTAAGGTAAACAATGCTTAAAACATCCACCCAATACACCCCTTCCTTAATCACTGATAGAGCATGGGCACACTACAGTGTCACATAAACAGTGTATCTCAAATTAAATAGACTTAAATAGCCTGTATACATAGACAACTTTTCTGGAGCAGTCATCAAAAAATTTGACTTGACATGAAGTTCTTTGTAAACAATGTACTTGAAATCACTGAACATTTTTGGAGCTCCTACAGCATATGGGCCAGAAGCAGTTGCTCCGTGGTCAATTAATTCCTAACTTCAAATCAGACCAAACATTCTACCTCACCCTTAACCCTAACCCTAAAACCCACTTGCAACATTGACCCTATACCTCAAATAAAACCCTAGATGAAACATCTGAAGAGCAAATGTCATGTCACCTATGACTATGTATACCAGAGTGACTTACTTCTGAGAACCAGTTGGGTAAGTCTCCTACAGACTTTGACCTGGTGAGGTGCTCTGGTTTGACCCCTCTATCTGATGACTCACCTTTAGGTTGGACATGAGGAGGATCTGCACCTTTCCATACTCCATTCTCATAACTAAACACCTGAGGGGTTTTGAAGTTGGACTTGTACTCTGACCTCCATTTTCTGAAACGTGAATTTGTATGTGAGATAAAAAAAAAATAACCATTCAACTCTAGAAAGTATAGTCTTTCCCCAAAATTACAGAATTAATCCTTTCGGCAAACAAACCCTCTTCTCTGGAGAATCTGTTGGATGCTATAGAGTGGTGAAGTGTGACGTCATCAAAATTCTGTTTTTTGGAATTTCTCAATTTTTTCTTCATTTTCCCAAAGAGCATACAAAATAATGTCCAAAGGTCGAAAACCAATTGAGTATGTTAAGTATGGGCTGAGATATGATCAACTGAATAAATACATTTCCTATATATAGGAACTCAGTGTTATATTGCTCTGGTTCATAACATTACGAGCCAGAGCATTCAGAGGGTCATATCTCAGCCAATGCTTAACATATTCAATTGGTTTTTAACCTTTTGACATTATTTTTTATGCTCTTTCAGAAAATTAAGAAAAAATAAGAAATTCCCAAAATAGATTTTTATGATGTCACAGCTTCGGTACTCTATTATGTTACCAACCTTCATGTGCATCCTCCCTCTGAAGTAAACCTGGATGTATACTTTTTATGTTTCTAGAACAAATCAAATGACAACATCTTTCAATAAATTTAGTTCGCCTGTTCATAATGGTGTGTACCCAGACATTAAAAAAGATTATTTTCAGGTTATTTAACTTTGTCTTGCTTTCATGTAAGGTTCTATAGTTGATATCAGGTGAAATGCTGGTCAATTATGCATACTCTACCATTGTAATTTCTTGATTTTGTCCTACTCATAACTTGATTTATACAAGTAATGAAAATGGAATTACATTAGAATACATTGTATTTTGCTGTACAGTACTGTGGAAAGACACTTGACAGCTTTATAGAAATAGCATAATCATTTTCTAAGTTCATTTTTATCTGCACTGCCTTTGTTTAAAAAGAGACATAACCAAAAAAAGAAACTCATCCAGATAATATGATGTAAGAGGGAAAGCATGTACTGACCTTACTGTTGCATGTGGAAAGAAAGGTCTCTGTGGATTTTGAGATGATTTGACGAGTCTTGGATCATCATGTGAGATTACAGATAGCACTCCAGCTGGTTGCTGTTTATCAGGGGTCAGCTTCTTACCTCGTTTGCTCTGAGAGATGGAGAAAATTGGCAGGATTATATTTACAATTGCATAAATATATAAGACACATAGACAACAAGCCAGATATGGAATTGTCTCTCCTCAATAATATTCATTTGAAATGGTAAGGATAGTATCTACCATAATAAATTTCATACTTTCATATTAAGTGAGAAAGAAAGATAGAGGAAAATTCTTGAAATGTTTCTGAGAAAGGAATTTTATTATTGAAAATAAATCTGTCCTTAGAAAATGTGAACTAATGTATAGATATATGAGAAGAAGTTAACTGAGTCATACTAGATGAAGACAAACCAAATTTAAATATAAAATCAAGAGTTAAAAGGATAAGTTTAGCAAGTAACCATCACAAAATTTGGGAGAATCTGGAAAAGAGTGATATCATTTTTTTCCAGTTTTGTATGAATAGATAAGTGTGAATAATTATCATACACTACTTTGTATTGTTTTATAGTTCTTACGAGCATTTGTTTTATGCTGTAAGTGTAAAGCTTGTGACATTTGGTGGCACTGCATTACAGTTTTGATTTTGATTTTCTCAAAGTTTACTTGAATGAATTGATTATTTGACAAATCACTGAATTGCTTTCTGTTCTCCCACTGATGAAACTTACCTTTGTTTTGACCCTGTACTTTGCTTTGATCTCTTGCTGTGCATTCTGCATGAGCTGATCTTGTACCAAAGGGCCATTATGGTTCTGCTGCTTGAACTGCCTTTGGTATTCTGTGTGCCGGGGTATCTTATCAGGTACATACGGAGCCAGGTTTGCATTAGAGGTATGTACCATCTAAAGAAATAGAACATATTGGATATCAAATATTCATTATGAAAAATTCATTATGAAAAGATGACATAACATAATATGCACATACCATGTCAACACAAAGTCTACATCTAAATGCATTTTATGAATGCTGAATAACTAATTGGTAAATGAATATTTTTTCAATGATATGTAGCAACTATAGGTTATTTACAAGGATTTGAATTGAGATAGTGGAATAATCATTATTAAATTAAAGTTTTGTCACACATACAGTGTACTTGTATGATACACTGTGGCAGCCAGGATTTTGGTCCATGGCAAATAGCGAGTTAATGATGAATGTCTACTATTAACAATAATGCCATTTCTTCACACATAACATTTTCAAAGTGTTATGCCGGCATTCCAATGGACAAAACTTTCTTATAATCTTTATTCTCTCCACTTGCATGTTCATCTAAGTATTCAGTGAGGATGAATAGAATAGCATAGAGATGTACATGTAATCACCTGAATATTGTACCCCAATGTATGTAGAGGAGAGTATTTTTTAAAACAGGCATTCTAATGGTTTGAAACAAGTATTCCCTGGCGAAGCCATCATATATCAATATTATAATTGTTTAAAATGTTTAACTCTCACCTGTTCTGCAGCCATCAAAGGTGATTCTTTTCATGGTTGCTTCCAGGCAAACTGTCGCTGGTATTCTGATGAATACCTGGGACCACCAGGCCTTGTTTTAATACCAGCACGGTACTGTAAGGCTTCATCAGTCTAAAATCAATCAAACAACATTACAACAGTTCAAAAAGGTTGTATCAGTCAGAATTGTGTGTGTGTGCGTGCGTGTGCGTGTGTGTGTGTGTGTGTGTGTGTGTGTGTTGGGTGTGTGTGTCTGTGTGTATATGTGTGAATATAATGCATCTTTCCAGTCAATTCACATGAAATTTTAAGGCTCAAACTTACATGGTTCTATTGTTTAAAATATTTACAGACTACCTTACTTTTAAACCTACCATGCATTTAAAGTGCTTCTGGTTAGAGAGAGAGAGAGAGAGAGAGAATGAAAGAAAAATTGAAAGAAAAATTAAAAAAATATAACAAATGTAATAGTTAGATCTGAGCTAAACATTTTCATAATCAGTAACATGCTTACCTCCTGTTCAGCTTTGCCCTTTGTTTTTGATGCATCGCCTCCTGCTTTAGGAACATGTTTGCCCGTCTTAGTGATTGCTGGACCCTTAGCTGCCCTGATTGGAGAGGGAGGGGCCACTTTCTTGGGAGGAGGAGGTGGCTGGCTAGGTTTGGATATGACTCTGGTTTGTGCTGCAAGGGCTTTGTTCTTCTCCGTCTTTAGAGTCTTGTCAATAGGTGGCCTGAAGAAGTATACATTTGAAAGCAATTAAGTACTGCAAGAATGATTTAACGTTGATAATATATGGATATCATGCAGATTGGTGCTACTTTTAAGTTCTGATGCATCATCGTTTTTTTTTAAATAAATCTCTACCTCCCCCTTTCTTTCTCTCCCTCAACTCTTTTCTTATCTCCTTCTTTTTGTCCTGTGTTAATTCAAAAAAGAGAAAGAGGTGGATTGCAGAGGTAAGTCTAAATATTCCTGGCTTACAAAACCACCATAGATTTATGGTTGGGAAAGGGAACGAGAAAGCTCGAAACCACATATTCTGAAATTAACTTATAACTGATTTTTTTTTCTTCTAGTCAAACCGACCAATCTGTGAAAAAAGTAGGGAATCCCCCTAAATTAGAAATCACAGTACGTTGATGTTAAAGGATCTCTTTGAAGAAAGAAACCGAAACCGCATAGTTGTGTACGATGAATATTCTATCAAAGACTGTGTGAAACAATAAGTGTGCCCCCCCCCCCTCCCAAAGGGTAGCCGCAATGATCGCTAGGTGTCTACTCTTATTTGGTAGGCTATTTTATTATCATGGAAGATAATTAGTGATTTAGGTCAAATGTTTTTGTTGTTGTAGTTTTCACTAAGTAGTGTTTCAGCCTATCGCTGCTACTTCCTCCTTCCCCGGAAAAGATTCTGATTTATATTTTGCATTTCCGAAACATGATAAAATATACATGAATTTTGCAACGTTTCGAGTTATCCACAACATTTTTAATATTTAGATAAAAGTCTCTCCTTTTGCCCGTGACTTTTCGAGGGCTTTTGTTATGCTGAAGGCTTAAAGAAAAGACCAAAGCAATATACAACAAGTCGGACAATTTAATTATTTTTTAATGTATGTGATACTCATGCCAGAAGATATACTCGTGCATTTAGGCTTTATTCCCCACATTCCAGAACCTTAAGCATCCTTTTAACCTTACCCCAATGCCGTCCTCTATATAGATCTACCTCTCACAATATGTCTTCATTTTGTATCCATCCAAATTTGTTCTTCCTACTTTCAGCGGCTCGTCAAGTTCACGCAAAGCAAGTGTCCATTATGTGTAAGGAGTGGAGCTTGTAGTGGGTATAGTTCAGGGGTTCAGGGATAGAGGGCCTGGGTTGCGATGGGGTTAATATTAGGTTGGGTTTAACATTGGGCTTTGGTATCGTGTTGGAACTAGGTTTGAAAATATCACACTACACGGATTGACACATTAATCTCATAATGTAAAAGTGAGAAAATGTTGTTAAGGTATCATAAATCTTCTTTATCTAAAAAAAAACGCACTTGATGCATATGCGTGTATTACACAATAAATTTACAGATTCTATTCATAGTTGTGTGGTTTGATTTTCACTCAGCAATGAAAATCCCAATTTACATTTACCCCCAAAAATACAATTATATTTATTTAAAAAAAAATATTGCATGGGTATTCTGGCAAGCGAGGAAGGAAATATTTCCTCATATAAGACTTATATAAGTACACATGACATCCTAAACAACTATATCAACAGACAAAGTAGAAAGAGGGGAAAAACATGACAGAATATAATCAATATATCATGTCATAGTAGCAGCACAAAATGAAACATTTATGAGCTAACATTTCAAATATATAGTATTGAAAGCTGAATGGAATAGTATCTTGGAACAGTACCAACGTGGAAGAGATGTCTGCACCAGATGGCGCTCTTACCACAATTTTGACAGATAGGAATCTCTCCATTTGCAATGAACCATCAATTTCCTTGTGTGTTAACACATCCATGCCTATATTGCTAATATTACATCATGATATGGACCTTGTTTGATGAAGATTCTAAATCATTGAGCCCCTCACCCTCTTAAACACACCCACACATGCTTATACACACTTTTAAAAAAAAATATTTGTTTTAATTCATTCCAAAACAATACAAATCATTCTTAGAAATACAGTTGTTTTTCATCTATACATAGATAAATATATTCAATACATAGATTGTACGATTGATAAACAAAAATGAAATCAGTTGTAACATAAAACAAATAACCCAATCCAACCAAACACACTACTACCCCCCCCCCCCGTGCGACACACGACACGACACACACAAACACACACACACACACAACCCCGACCCCACTACCATACACATACCACAAACTGTTCCTAGCCCCCTCATAATACCCAAAATTGGAGCGACAGAATAATAGAAATAATCTATATCAAAAAATGAATAAATGATTATTAAAACGAGGCTACAATAACGCACACTCATCCACCCAGTCACACACGCACGCACCCATACACACTCACTAACACACCACATGCCCCCCCCCCCCTCACACACACACACTTCTATCCCCCACATCCTCATATCGCCAAACCAAAATTCATCATACACCTTAAAGGCAGGTTTAGATATGAAGCATTAAACCATAGCAGTTTTGTTATAGTGAAAATAAAATAAGGTCATGTGCATATTTACTAAAGCTCTGTGTTATAAGATACAGTATTGCCAAGCAAATTACACTTAAATCATTATAAAAAACAAACCATCAAGGTTTACAGCATCATATCTGAACGAGGCATAACCCAGTTTAAAACACACTTTAAGAGGACCTCATTAGCACCGTACGTCTATATGGATTTTAAAATGTCATACACTTTTGTAGTACTGGAATAGTGGTCAACACAAATGCAGCCTTAGTCAATAAGCTATATCAAGATTGTACATGACATAAACAACAACAAATATATATCCACTTTGTAAAGTGTGTTCACAATTCTCATTTCTTTTTCAATTAGTGAATCCTCTAGATGATTCATTAAATGTCCTTATCACCAAAATGCTTTTCAAACCCATCCTGTTTGAATGTCCAACTTTGAAATATATATTCACTTTGTAGAGTATGTTCACAATTCACCTTTCTTTTTAGTGAATGCTCTGAATGATTCATTAAATGTCCTTATCACCAAAATACTTTTCAAACCCATCCTGCTTGGATGTCCAACTGGAAGTGACTGCCATTTTGGTAAACTCATGTCCTAAATTAGAGGAAAATATATTATGTATCTAATTTTTACCTAGAGGTACAGTATGACTACGTAAGCCCTTGTGGGTGACAACGTAATTCCATATTTAGATACATATATGAATTATGAACATATATCTACTTGAAGGCACACAGCCCCTTAATGTAATCTGTTCAGAGCCAGAAAGGTATTAACATTGTATCAAAGTATATAACATAAATATTTTCTTCTGCCTGGAACACAGATGTCATGAGAAACAACATAAATGAAAGTCAAAAAGGGCTAGAACACAATCTGGAATAAATAGATATCATATTGAAATATTCTGAATATATTTCAAAGGAAGTGCAAGTATCATCTATATCAATACACTCTTACTTTCTAATAAAATATGGCTCATGTTATTTTATTTTGAAAAACATGTATAAAATGTTGGCAAGGGAATTAAATGGCCAAAAGATAACACATGACAGGGCGGTGCTCTTTTCTAACATGCACACGTATTGACTACTTCAATTTTACTTGTTCTTTATTTGTTACCAAAAGAGCTAAATATTACATTCATACCAAAATCATTATTTACAATCTCACTAAAAAACATCTTAAACAAACAGATTGTAAGGTATACTAGATTTGTCAGAGAAAATAGTTCATAGGATTCTAGGACACATAATGCTCTTTGGCTTGACATATTCAACATTGGCAAACTTTCTTTGAAATTAAGATCCTCCGTGACTGTGCGATCCTAATCATGGTTTGCAGCCAACTTAAAGGTTGCAAATAACCCCAACGTACTTTACTTTGTATGCGAGGGTTCCATGTCGCTATACTTAAACCAAGATAAGACCTCCAAATATTGCTTCTCAAAAAGATATGGAGTGAGTTTCATTTATGTATTTAAATAGCATGAAAGAAACTTGCTCCAGTAGATGATTGTATAGGAAAGCACATGTACATAACTTAAGTTGAACTTCTGACGCATTATTCTTTATTTATCTTCATACTCCTTATTTTTTAACCCATAGAATGCCGGCTGATCTATTTTAGTTTGATTTTATACATTAAAGCTGTACACAAATAAATTGTATAAATTTGATTGGTACTCTTAAGGTCTATATATTAATACTGTAGACCACTTTATCATGAAAAACACAATTTGTAGATAACGTGCACTACTAATACACTATACCCTCCATTATGTGATGATAGAATGAGAGTGAAATAACACTAGGAAAGTCGTTTATCTTCTGATGTAACCCAACTTCGCGCAGTACCTTATCACTAATTCGTTGACGAAAATGTACAATTTGTAAGGAGCAGGAAATATCTTGAATCTTTACTCTGATATGTTCTATTCCTCATTAAATGATAAAAGGCATTAGGGAATGTGCATTGAGATTCTACTATACTTCATCCCCCAAAGAAGTTAAAGCTAAAGAGAACAGTGTTCTCCCATCCTCCATTGTTCCATCTGAGTACAGTGACTCTAAACCAGAGTCGGGCGATGACGGTTGCTCACATTTAGAGGATGTTTGGACGTCCACGGGGGAATGGATATCCACAACTTTACTGATGCTATCCATTTCTTTGTAAGGCATAGAATCGGCATAAAACTGACTCTCCTGCAAATTCAGTCTTCCATTGATCATATTGTCATGGTGAATAGTTGCTGGTACCATGGAGGGATTGGTGAATCTGCAGGTGGGGTCGTCTGAGTAGATGGTGGTTCCATTCGACAGAGTGAAGTGATTGATGTACTGGGTGCCATTCAGAGAATCACAGTCATCTGCAAGAAAATATTGTGACACTAAAGTTGTCTTTTGAAGGAAATCATTGCAAATTATCAATGAAGCCGATATCAATAAATGTTATGGATTTTCTGCAACACAAATCATGACATTGCAGATTCAGTTCAACAACAACGTTAAAACATTTTTTTAATTGATAGAAGCACACACTAAATAACAAAGCAATTGTAATAAACTGTAAATGCGTTAGCTCCAAAAATAATATGGTTTTAATTTCTTCAGCTTCAGTCTAAAAATCATATAGCTGGGTTCTAATAATTTTACTTATAACATAAGTATAACAGCTATAATTAGTTATAATTAACTTCTATGGAACCAAGGAGACTAAATTGTTATAATGAAACCCTGTTATATTAAGGCTAAGGAACACAGAAATATCAATATCAAGAATTGGGACCTGTCATTGGGACATACTTTTATTATTTTTTTGTTATAATTATTATTATTATCAACATTATTTTCTATATCGTTATTATTATCATTATCTCCATCATAATCATTTTTACTATATATATTGTTGTCATAAGTATTATGAGTATTATTAGTTATATCATTGTCATTGTTATCATCATTATTATTATCATAACATTGTTTTTATGCTATGATTCCCCTATGTTATGAAAGCAACCGGTCTTACTATAAGGAATGTTCTTGTGATGAGACATGGATGATAGTGTCGGGTCACCTCCATGCCTCGTCTCCTTGGGAGGACCAGGCGTTCTGCTCCTCATGTAGGAACGGACGATAAAAAACAAGATCAGGACCATCAGTAATAGGCCTAGGACTCCACCCAGAGCTCCAGAGAGTGTTGCCAATGGAAGACTGGCTTCCGGTTTGACCACCGGTGTGACCACCGGTTTGACCTTCGGTTTGACCTCTGGTCTGAGGGAGGTATGTAGATGTGAAGATGGTGTAGGCGTGGCTGTAGGGGACGTGGTTGGGTTAGAGGGGGTCGTCAATGATGAAGGATGGGTCGTAGATGAGGCAGGAGTAGGCATAGCTGCAAAAAAAGATGAATTCCCCGTAATCATACATGTCACAAGGAAATTATCCCATTGCGTACGGGAACCAGGAGGATTTTGTATGAAAGCCTATATGGAAATGAGATTTCAAATGGTGAAGATCTTCAATAATCTTCTTCTAGTTATCTTCAAAGGGCTATGCAGCCTATATATCACATATATGAACTAAAGATTGCAAGCGGTGTGAGGAAGACATATGAGCTTTAAATGGAATACAGGCATAGCATGCTAATCCCTGGACGTTCTTTGTACTGTCAGCGTGCTGCCAGGCTGTTCCATTATTATTATTATTAAGTAGCATAAGGGAGGAGGATGCGTTATCTCGATTGAAGGTAGCATGAATGGGGATTTGAAGATAAATAGAATTCAGAACTCACCTTTAACAGCAATGTTATTATAGGAGTTAATCCATGGACATCCATCGCACAGTGTTTCACTAATCCATACCTGAGGTGCAAAAAGAATTCATAAAAGGGGTTAAGTTGTTTTAAATATTAATAAACCATGAATATAAGTATATGAATAAAAACAATATATTGCAACTTTTAAAGTCTGATCACAATCGTGCAACCTTCGGTTATCAAGAACTGATGATGATCTTTAAGATATTTCTTAAAGGGCAAATAGAGAAAAGAGAAAGATATTTGTAAAGTTATGAATATCATGGACATATAACAAGAAATTTAAAAAAAAATGTAAGTCAAGACTAGTAAATCAACGCTTCTGAAATGATAAACATATCCGTCAAAATCAAACAGAAATAAATCAATCAAATCAAATCAAATCAATTTATTTTCATGTGATTTGGAGGGTAACAATTTGATCAAAAGCATGTTTAAAATTATATACACTATTAGATCACTTGATTATGTTTTACAATGTTACTTTCAAAACTTACATATGCTGTATAAGTTCCCTCTAGCACGTTGTTGAAAAGCACAGTAGGAGAAGAATTCTCCTGAATGAAATAATTACAGAAAGGTTATGGAAAAACCTGTCATGAAGCCAAAAGAATGTTTCTAATATAAATTGGAGATATACTTTTTTTTTTTTAAAGTGCACTATATTTTTTTTAAAGTGCATAAGAAGATATCAGGAATGAGAGAGAAAAAGAAACAGAACAAACAAGAACATGCAAAAATTTCACTACTACTACTTTTACTTCTACTACTACCTTTACAAGCTACTACTACTACTACTATTACTACTACTACTACTACTACTACTACTACTAATACTACTACAAATACTACTACTTCTACTACTACTACTACTACTACTACTACTACTACTACTACTCCTACTAACACTACTACATCTACTACATCTACTACTACTAATACTACTACTACTACTACTACTACTACTACTACTACTACTACTACTACTATTACTACTACTACTACTACTACCACCGCTACTAACAATGTTTTTAACAATGTCACTACTATTAAGGCATAAAAACAAGATGTTACATTGCCCTTTAGGTGCCAGAACCTGTGTCGGTCGGTCGGATATCTTATTTTTTTAATACTTTTTTTCCCCTCAAAACGGCGACCGTCGCCCCCCTAAAAAAAAAACCCGGGAACATCGCCCAAATCTCGCCCAAATCTTGCTGGTTTCTAGCTGGTGCAGTGCATGGTATATACAGGTACGAGGCTATGTCTACTTGTTTACGCTAGCAGGATTTGAGTGAAAATTTGGGGGAAATTTGATGATTTTATGCATTTATATCCCATTTAAACAAACAAAATACATATTTTTTAATTCTTTAAACTTTATTAAAAAGCTGACCGTAGATTTTAAGATTTTTTGGTCGGTCGCAAAGGGCAATTCAACATCAGTTTTTGTAACGCCAAATACTGATGCCATTGACTAAAAATATAAAGTATTAAGAAGTTTATTGAATGAATCCACGGTGGAGGCCTGGCAGGTGTTCCAGACTTTAGGGGCAAGAAAAGTTAAAAACAAGTTACGTAAACTTCAGTTATATTCTTAAACATGAGCTAGCAGCTCATTAACTCACCAAGTTTAGCATGGGATTGAACCTGTAGGTCACCTGATAGTGCTCGTAGTTGCCTTCTTGTTTTTGAAGCATGACTTCATAGACTGTATATTTATTGCTAGGCCAAAAAGTCACCTGCACGGAACCATTGGCAATTTGAGTAAGGGTTGGTCGAAAAGGTGGTCTCCAATCGTTAGGTGATTCTACATAGCAAACAAATTCATGTTTAACATGACACAAGTGATCTATTAACCTACAACAGAATCATATAGGTAAGGTTTTCAGAGTTACACTGTGTAAGTCCTTTATAGGAATATGAGCCATGAAAAGGGATGGGTTTTGCTTATAATTATGTAGAGCTCTTGGTATTCAACGTTTCAACCATTCTCCAGAAGACGATCAGAGAATACATTGAGAGCCAATTAGTAACACCCATCAGCCTTATTCAGGGCTCTTATCCCTTGAAAAGAATTACATTGTGTACCCCTGAAAACTTGAGCTACAATTTAGTTTCACCACCATAATATTGCTGATATGTCACTCATAAAAAATAACCCATAGCAAGACAGTGTCACCTTAAAGTGATTTTTGGGGCATTCTCTTTTGATCCAAAAATGCTGAGTATTGCACATAATCTATGCTTTTTTAGCACGAGCAAAAATCACAGGAAATATGGGATTCATTCTTGTTGCAGCACATTGTGCTATTTAATTGGCAACATTGATGGAAATATATGTAATTGGAAATTAAATAGAAAAATTGGCAACATTGGTGGAAATCGTGACCATTGTTTCCATCTACATCTTTTCCATCTTTTCTAAGCGCATAGGGACTTTCTTTATGTGAGTGATATGCGCTATACAAATAACGTTCATTATTATTATTGTTATTACAATTGGCATTTTTGTTGTCTTTTATAATATTTATTTGAATAGGTTCAATCAACACAATTTTCATTTGCCCTACGGAATGAAGAGTAAAATCAAAATTGTTGCCAAATTGAAGGGGCAAAGATGACCCATTTGGACGTGTTGGGAAATCCTGAACCTTTCCGGATTTGCTCCTTCATGCATATGAAATGTATTGTCTAAAGATCAGAACAGAGAGCTGGCATGAAACATAAAAAAATGGTCAAAAGGGTCACATGTATATTCAAGTAACTTACCAATATTGCATACAGTTAAATTTGATTCCTGTCCACAACCTGCACAAAATATAATAAATCAGAAGGTAAATATATATTCAAAAGAAAAGTAGCGTCATTTGAGGCACTGTTTCTTTGCTCATGTTAATGAATATGAAAATAATGAAAACCATTACAAAAAACAAAAACATCTACCAGGCAGTGTAAAATTGATTCTTGCTCTCATGAGCTCTTTTGGATACGAAATATCTATATTTTCTCCAGCTATCAATTTATACTCCTTTTTTTATATTTTTTAATTAGAGCTCTTTACAACTTTTTCTACAGTTTTTTGAGAGTTTTTTTAGTCAGATTGCTCACTACTTCCATACTACTTTTTCACTGCCACTTACTTGGGAGTTTTGTTAGAAATCTTCCTTCATTTGAATTATCATCATTGTTTGGTAGGCTGCGGATAATGGTGATGTAATCCATGTCAGGCTGTGCAAAATCCCCATACTGGCATGTCACTGAGAAATTGGACTAAATTATGAAAATAAACAAGAAAAAATTGCATAGTTAAGGTTACAAAAAGATAATTTACTCTAAATGCTGGTATATAGTCCAAATATAAAACAATGCAAGTTTACAATACTCTCTATGAATGTAAAAACACAAAATACTTGCTGATAAACTACTTGAAGCATCTGTACATACAAACACGCAAAAGGAGCCTGAGTCCTAATTAATTTCCGCGCATGTGGCTTTACATTATCTGTAATTTCTCCATGCTTCTGTAACTGTAAGCTATACACACTGTTGGTCATAATGGTGGAATAATTTTTGTTACCCCAATTTATTGAATGATTTTGACAATGATTTATTTCTAATAGATCTAGATAATAGTAAACATTCTCAGATTTTATTGAATGACAATTGGGGAGTGTTTGTTTTGCATGACTGCTAAATCATGTGTGTGCTACTATGCTAATCAACTAACTGAATTTTAATTTCATTTTCATTGATCTTTGCTTGTTTTTGGATGGGTGGTTGATTTTAAACATACATGTATACAAGGAGGGTACAATTTACATATTAGGTGACTGATGGTACCCTTTAAACCTAACTAAATTGTAGATTAATACTTAGGTAGTCTAATCTTCTCCATGAGTTACTTTATTGCAGGGCTAGAGCACATCAAAAGCAATCCAAGTATGTGGAAGCTTATATATGCATATTTATATTAGATTGACTGGGTTTTGAGGGGTACATCAGAAATATTGACCAAGCTAAGATCATATTGACGAGGGCAATATAAAGTCTTAGCGCGGTCGATATTTCCGATGTACCCCGAAAGACGCCATGTCAATATAATTATTATTACCTATACAAGGCATTTTTTCACAAATGAAACAACTTTGGTTTTAAGCAGTTGGATCCAACTGCGCAAGCGCACTGATGGAATATGGCAGAATGTTGCCCTCTGATTTAGTACAGTGGTCTACGGGGAAAACCCGGAAGAGGTCAATATGGCAAATGTTGCCCACTCTGGATTCGTATTCGGAGTAGCGTTCAAAATACGCAGCTAAAATGCCGTGTATAGGTAATAATGTGAGATATTATCTTAAATTTCAATATTCTTTTTGTTTGAAAATTTTCATTTGAAAGACTTTCAAAATTTGAAGAATCTCGCTTTCAATTTCCATTAGATAATAAAATTATATGGATTGTTTTTCAAAAATATCTTTTCTTAAATTTGATAACCGCTATCTGGTAAAATAATACATGTATATTTTAATGGCTATTAAATCACCTTTTTTTGTTAATAGCGTAAAAAAGTAAATAAAATAATGTGACTTACCTGAGCATCACTAACCGTCAATGTTCTGTTGAATAATATTGTGACACAGAAGGATTGCGTTGCACAAATACTTTGGTGACACATGACTTTAACTTCATATCCAGTCAAATAGTTGATACGATCTGGACAAAATAATAACAGCCATGAGTTTTCTGATTATGATACATCCATTATGTTCAAACAACATTGGTACATTCCATTGGTATGGTTTAAGGCTTGATTAGTATTATCATCAGATATCATACCGTATTTCATGGGGGAAAAAGCTTTAGTTTCCAAATTGTATATAAAGAGGGATCGACCCTTCTCTCTGCCATGTCTATTTTTAATGGATTTTTTTCTTTACATAATTCAAATAACTTTCAAATGGGCTGAAATTGTGTATATCTGTGTACATGCATACTACATTACGTCACTAGCATAGGCTTTTTTTTAGTTGGGTAGAAGGGGGCAAATATCCTAAAATTTGCTGAAGAGGACAATTTCATCACCTAAACTTTGGACTTGGGTACTGAAACTAAGCCACTTCGGTTTCAAGGTGAGCGCTGGTCATGCCCCTTAAATCTGCAAGTGGACAGTGCACTGTATCATTTACCTGTCGAAGCCTTCCAGCGAGGGGCCAGATCAAGATAAATCTTCCCATCTGTTGCTATGTAGGAGGAGGAGTAGGAGTCTAAGCCAACCTGGAGGGGAGGACCAGGTGCCTGATTGACAGGTACAGTGCCATCGGTTTCACAACTACCTAATCGAAGTTAAACAAATATATACAATATTTCATCAATTAACAGAGCTGTAGGTACAGGGAAGCGAATGCCTCAATCAAATAATAAAGAAGAAAAAATGAGGAAATTGAGAAAGGAAATTGACAAGAAAGAATAAGCCTGGATCTCCTCTAGCCTCATATTTAATTTCCCCCAATAAGATCAGCGTCTCCCCCCTACACAATTATTGTGGCAGTGCCCCCTCACTGGTTGAACTCACTCTATGCCACCATTAATTTTTTCTTTAACCAAAAGAAAAGAAGAAAACAAAACAAAACAAAGATAAATGTTCATTTGATAATAGTTATATGTTTGAGATGGATTTAAATAATAATAATAAAAACGCTGCTTTTAAAGTGCCTACCATCGAGAGTCTCTTAACGATATAACAAATAAAATACAATGATAAACAATTACAAATCACTAAAATAAAAAAATTGCAAAAGAACCTACAAATTACAATACATATGAAATATACATCAATGTGAACAGAAATTCTTAATCATTGAATAAATGTGTCTTAAGACAAGTTTTGAATCAAGAGTCCGAACATTTTTGACATTTAAAGTTAGTTTGTTCCCATATTGTGTTTTCTTTGGATGATTGACATCATTTATTTTCATATGTTTTCTTTTTTTTTGGCACTTGACCCCTAAGCTTGCAATTACACTTTATTCCTCGTCCTCTATCTCATTTTTTTGCAGGTAAGAGATTGAGTTGCTACCAGGATAAAAGAAGCTTAACTTTATGTTTTACCTCTCCTCAATAGGATATGGATCCCAGGTATTTCCCCACCTTTACATTTTGGTATCAAAACAAAGTAAAAAAAAAAGGTATCGAAGGCCTCAAAGCATCCTTCAAACATTGTCCATGATGTAAAAACAAAGATATCCTATTCAAAGTATAAACTCTGCATTAAAAAGTTAGTGTGAAAGAAAAAAAAATATGATCAGGGATATAAAGAAAGAAAGGAGAGATAAAGAAACAGAGAGAGAGAGAGAAAAGAGAGAGAACGGGAGAGAGAGAGAGAGAGAGAGCTGGCTGGTATAGAGCGATTAGTGGCAGGGGAAAAGCATACGCAATATGTGTGAGGAGATAAGAGAAATAATTTAAGACACACACCAAAAATTATAAACTTTAAATACACAACACAAATGGATCCTTTCCTCCATTTTCCCAAAGGATCTGTTGAAAAACTCTGTCAAATGTTTGCTTTTACCTGATATGATTTAAAACAAAAAAATCAACAATTTAACAGGTAACTTTGTACTAAGCACTGTACAGACTTTACACAATGGGAGCATTTTAATCAAGTACTTTGCTGATCCAAGAGTTTGGCATGCCAGAAACTTTTTTGCTCTTGCCAATGACAAATATGGCACCTAAAATATTCATCTCCAAGTTTTTGAGTTTTCATCAAAGTTTTCATTTTTTGTCAATTTATTGTGAGTTCTTCCTTTTTCTTCTCTAGTTACGTTTTGTTTGGAATTGATAAGATATCATGTATATATTCTTCTGAAATTAATACATAGAATTGTAGATGGACTTACTTGTGGTACTTATAACGCATGGTGGTAAAGATATACCTGGAGCTCCAGTTGCATCCTGTAAGAGGGAAAATAGAATGATTAAATTACAAATCAGGAAACTTATTCTTCATTCAGGTATACTCAGGTATACAGGTATACATCTTCTGTAGAAAACTAAAATCGTACTTAGACATAATCATCTGATGAGACTCGGAAGGTCATGAGTTCATATCATTTGAGGGGTTAATTACGCCCCTCTAAACTCTCAAGAGATTTGGGTCACTTTCATACCGATTGGTTTCAGAAAATGTCCAAAATTTCTTCTTTAAGTGTCTTCCCAGGGCCTGATGTTGGCAGCTATTCAAATGAAGCCACTTCAATCATGTCACAACACCCCCCCCCCCCACATACACAAAATATAAAGTAAGCTAATACCAGGTACCAGGTACAGAGCAACCTCCATGAACCTCAAGCCATCCATCAATGGCTGATCTTAACACGATCAATCGCAAAGCCTTTCAAAAGAAATCAACCTAAAGCCACTTCCAAAGCTTTATAAATCACCTATTGAAATCTGTCAAAATTACAATGACAATGAAAATCTTTGACAATTTGAAGAAGAAAAAAGAAAGAAAAAAAAACATCAGGAAAAAGTAGGGTGTCCAGGAAGGGTGCCCCCCCCCGGGGGGGGGGGGGTATGCACTGGACCTCTGGACCTCTGTTAGTATTGAGCTCTGTTTCAAGGCCAAGTACTAAGTCCAAACATCAGTAAATAACTTTTCTTAAAATACATTATAATCTGAATCATGGATAGATCTAGGGGGAAGGGGTCGTTTTTGTGCCAGATAGCTTTTTGGGGGTAAATGAACACCCAATAATTTTTATGAGCACTTTTTGTTGTTGCTTGCTGGTTAGTCTTCTGGGTTATTGGTTCCCCCCCCCCCCACACCTTAAAATTTCAGATCTGCCCCTGCTGATAGTTAGAAGTAAACATGTTGTAAAAATCTCTTGATGGTTATCCAGGAGCTCCTTGGTGTCATTTCGCTGACTACCCGTAACAAGACGTCTTTTACTGCCATTTACAATAACTTGCATATACAGCCTTGTTGCGGACAACCGTGGATTTGTTTTAAGTTGAGCATAGACCTAGTAGGTCCATGGATTGAGCTAATCAAGCCTTTATAATTATGCTGATTGTACACAAATTGTACACAAACCGTTTTCGCAATACAATAAAAGACTTCATAAGTTTCATGAAGTACAGCAGTACAGGGTTATCACCCTGGTTATCACCCTGGTTATCAACAGATTGCCAAGTCTAGAGAGGAAAACCAATGTTAAATAAACCTTTATAATAACAAAAACTATGCGCGTTTGGGGTTGTATGACGTTTTCTAGCTTCCTTCCTCATATTCTTCATAATTTGGTTGGAAGGGCCTGATTTGAACACAATCTTTTCAAAGGGCACTTCCTCATTTGGATAAATTTGTAAAACACAATTTTTGGTAGTAGATTACTATAAGCAAGTCTCTAGATTTTATTGTGTATCCACATAACCTCTTTGTAAGTTAAGAGCTTAAGTGCTCACTACTCCCATATATTATAGACCTATATATGAATTTATCATTGGCGTTCATTATGATCTATATCATGAGACGATTCAGACAATTCAGCTTTGATTACTAGCATATTTTGTGTGTAATATAACTTCACTGAACTTTGACCGTTGTTATTATTATATTGAAACCTGATGATATGATTCCCTACGTGATACACATTGTTCTATGGTTTGAACTTCATGCCCCACTTGATTCTATCCCCTGAAGTTGAAATATCATCCAGCACTTTGCCTTGCGCCTAGGCAAAAAAAAAAAGGTTTTCCCCTTTTAAGAAATTGTTTTTATATGAGCCTGGGTAGGATTAATCAAGCCGTAACAATCCCTATAATTTTCAATACTTAAAACGAATTGTGATGGGGATCTGGACCCCCATTTCCTTTTGCTTGCATAGTTTGTATTATTATTATTTTATATTGCATTTGACCTCCATCATGAAGGGTGCCAGTTGAAGTCAACATCCTTGCCCCCCCCCCCTTAACAAAAAATAAAAATCCTAAAACTGCTAGTGAATAATGATGAGAAAGGTGGTAAGGGATAGTCTATACTGAATCAATCACATCGTCATTAAGATGAGACAAACACCATTACATTTGGATTCCCTTAGAACCAGACTAGAGAGTACTACAAACCGAAATAGATCTCTGTGTCATGAATGTTGAAGATTTCTCTGTAAATTGACCCTGCATCAGTTTGACCTTTGACATGCTGATCCACAATCTTCTGAGTTCATCTGCCTGCATGTGGGATACGTGCTGCAGTATCAAGATTAACAATCTTTAAATGGTTTGTAAACTTATGTGACAACATAATGGGATATACCACTCATAAACCGTACCCTAGAGTCCATGCATAAACATACTGCCTATGACACCATCTTTGGTGGCAGATCTAGGCATAAATCTTACTTCAGTTGTCTGCAAACAAGAAAATCTTTTTTTTCCCCAATTCCTCTTCTGAGAAAAGCTCCACAAAAAAATACAGCAAGAAGTAGCTGGATTAAAAGGTTGTGCTTAAGGTATTCAAATTAATCTGAATGAGTATAAACTAAAATATTTGGTGTCATAAACAAGTTATTTGTACTACAATCTGAGTTCAAAGCGAAGTTCTTTTTTCCCATTCCTTTTCTGAGAGAAGCTCCACAAAACAAAAAACAGAAAGAAGTAGTTGGATGAGAAAGTTGTGCTTAAGGTATTCAAATTAATCTGAATGAGTATAAACTAAAATATTTGGTGTCATAAACAAGATCTTTGTACAACAACCTGATGGATAATGCAATGTAAGTTTGTTCCAAATGTAATGAAACATCAAAATACTTCATCCGGCAAACATCGAGATACTTCATCCGACTTACACTATTATCTGGGAGGTTACGCATGCCTGTCTCATAAATGATTTCAAAGGTTTATGCAGGTGTTGTGTGTGAAACCATTGACAACCAAAACGAATTGATCCCTCTCTATTTTGTATACATCAAACTGGCATACTTTTCACTCAATACTATAGAGTACCGAAGCTGTGACGTCATAAAAATCAATGTTTAGAATTTCTAAATTTTTTCTTCATTTTCCGAATGAGCATCAAAAATGAAGTTCAAATGTCGAAAATCAAATGAATAAATGGTTTTAGGCTCTGGCTCCTAATTGTTAGGAGCCAGAGCAAAAAACACTGAGTTCCTATAGGAAATATATTTATTCAGATGGTCATATCTCAGCCAATACCTAACATATTCAATTGATCTTCGACATAATTATGGACTTCATTTTTAATGTTCTTTCGGAATATGAAGAAAAAATTGAGAAATTCTGAAAATTGATTTTTGATGACGTCGCACTTCACCACTCTTTTGGATTGATTTTTGAAGGAAAGGACTATAACATAAGGTGAAGTTCAGAGGCTCAAATCAAGTCTCAACTATATATATTTCTTCCCGTATAAATAAAATTATAGAGGCAGTATAGGGTATCAGCAAACCTCTTGCCCACTATTAAGAACATCTCATTAATCACCTAAATAAGTTATGTAATGGTTTTATTCACAAGAAAATCTACTTAAAAGTTCATTACAAATTTTCCAGGATAGGAAGAACAACCTTTTTTTTAAATCGGAATTCCAAAAAGTTTAATTTCTCTTTACTACATTCCTTTGTATGGCCAACTCTTAATTTTCTGCATAATGAAACCCTTTACAAGTTATGTTGTTCGGACTTTAAAGACTGTTCTGAACCACAAGGGTATTAAGTTAACTCGGTGTTATTCTTATAGTATATGAGTTAACACATTGTGGCTCCAAATAAACTGTATATGTTACATAAATGTCGTATGTGATACAAACGTTTTATTTTGGCAATGCACTCTTTATTGATCAATGTGGACAAAGAGTTAACAAGCTAGAATGTGAAGTCATTCAATGTTGACAGTGTGATTTATGGTCTCATCCTGAATTATTCCTACATAAACAGACCATTAAACTTTCAATTTTGTCGAAAGTATGGTAACCAGAATCACATGACTACTGTTCCCCTTATAATGGACACTATGACATTCCATAGGAGATAAATTCATCACAGTTACAGTTTATTACCCACAAAGTAGGCATCAGTCAGCCATATTTGATGATTTGAGAATCACAGACAGACAGACATAGGCAGAGAAACGTAAAGATGGGGAAAAAGATCGAGAGAGAAGAAAGAGAGATAGTGAGAGAAAGAGGGAGAGAGAGAGAAAAGGGGGAGACAGGGAGAGTGAAAACGGTAGGCATGCACATTTTACATGTACCTGTGGACTCTTTTGTTCAATATTCAAACCAAGATCAAAAGTGTGAAAAAAAAACCAACAAACAAGCACAAATAGTCGGCCCACTTCAGCATAAACATAACAACAGACATGGCAGACCTCCATCGAGGCCAACATAGCTAAGCTCCTTCCCAAAGTCCAAACACTTCCATTTTCAGAGTTGGGGAATCCCAGGTAGGCTTATGACTTTTGTAAACATTATCTTCAAGTGCTCTTTCACTTTCATCAAAAGTGTGATCTAAAACTGTTCCATGAAAATTACACCTTACCTTCAAAATGATTCTGGAATGAGAAGAGAATCTAGATCTAGTTCATAGAAGGGTTACTCAAAAAATAAAACGCGACCATTTCAATATTCATGTTAATACTTGACCTAAAACAATCAAACAAGCTTTTGAAGTCAACCCATGCAGGTCACTTATATTGGATAAAAACTTGAATATACTAAAATTGTTTTCCGTAACCCAGTAAATCAAAAGTTAGAGGACAAAAGGTTTTTAAATCATCCAAAAGTGATATTTCAGTTAAATTCTCTACTATTCTTTTCACTTTTCTGGAGTGTAAAATGTAGGCCTGCATTAAGTTAAATCAGGAGTTGATCATTACATAATACATTTGCTATATACCAGCCACTTCGCTGGTAATCCACTCAGATTTCTCACAATATAGTACGTCATATCCCTACCATCAACACTATCAAATATGATCTGTCAACTTATCAGCAGATTTTCGGACGATGTCACGACTTGGAAGCTAACATTTTCAAGTTGTTTTTCGGAACATAACATTCTATGCAGCACTGATTATGCATTCGGATAAATAGAAGTATAAAGAAGAAAAACAAACTTTAAACAAAAGATGTATAGAATGTAAACTTACCGTTTGTTGACAGGGGCTCGTGCATGTCAGTACTCCAGAGCTTGCTTCAGATTTAAACAAAATAACATTTAATACAATTCCTACCAGAGTAGGGAGAGATAGTGGAATTCTAAACATCTTTGCCTCGCTCGAGAGAAACCGTGTTTGTGGGCCTCTGGAAGCTCAACACGGTACCATTTCCCACTACCTGTGTGTGTATGTGTACCGCGTAATTTACTTCCGGAGGCGGAGCACGTACATGATTTACGGGGGATATAATTATGGTCGATGGGGAAAAACTTTCCAAGAATGAAAGTATAAACCCGGACTCTGAAGTAGCAAGCTAGATAGTTTTATTTCTACGCTGTTGACAATGAAACGGGGTGGTATGCGGTATGTGCCCTAAACTGACCCGGGAAACTATAGTAAGTTCTGGCATGCATAGGTACACGAAAGGGAAGAAAAAAGAAATTTGGACGATAAAAAGTACCTGACAAATGGGATTCTTACTGTTTTAATGAGTTACACATGATTACTAACTTTGGAAAAGTACATGTAATGCAATTTTAGGAGAAGAAAAAAATTAAATAATGATTTGAATTTCTGAATGCACGATGTAGACAGTGTAGCTAAGTTTAAACGAGATAACATAAAAGTTAAAATTGTAAACAGTTCGACGAGTGACAACATTATTTTTTGTTCCAAAATTGTAAATTCAAGCTTTTTAACATGCTGGTCCCAATTAACCTTTACAGTGCTGCATCGATCATGTTGAAAGTGGGAATCTAACATTTTGCAGAAAAAATGATTTGACGTTTGAGTTTAGTAGAGTGAGGGTGCGCCGATAATCCTAAGCAAAGGTTAAGGGCCGAAGTAAAATCTTGTGGTGTTATTTATTTGGTTGCCGGTACTATACGAACTAAGCACACCTTGTTTATTCAGAAGACATGTTTCGATGAAATATTCCTTGTCGCCGTGTTTATTTTCCAAGAAATCTGTCTTGGTATAACCATCCGTGTTGCAAGAGAAAGCACAAATCAAACGAAAATAGTTAAACCTTTCAAAAAATTATCCAAATCAGAGAAACTGGAAACAAAAGACAACAATAAAATTGCGTTAAAATCTCGGAAAATCGGCGGTATTTCTGAAAGAAACTTCTCAATCACTATGCCACAATTAGAGACTTTCGGATATACACGTCGGCCCCATTGTTGAATCTACTTGATTTCACTTTAAAGAGTATATAGCTGTAAACTTTCACGTCTTACTCTTTGGTTATAATCATATTATTTAGTTTATTAATTATTTAGTTTAATCATAAATATTCTACAAACTTCAACAAGCGCGTTGCTCCCTTTCGATACTCGCTAATATGTAATTCATGTGACTTGCTCTTCAATTGAAAATGGAAACCATTTTAGTTTATCAATAATCTTGTACATGTCTATTTCTTTTTCCCCTCATGTTGCTCATTTCTCTCAACTTTCTTTTTCGCAGATCTAATATTGTTCCTGTCGCATTTCCTGATTTTCATTACTATCGGGGGAAAATAAAATTAAGAGGAAGTTGGTCCGTTTTTAATTTCTTGACCATGATTCTTGGAAATTAACTTACAACCACGGACGCTTACACTCAAATAGTCGATAGCATACTATTATAGATCCTCTCAAAAGAACAGACCTTCCCCAAATCATATATTCCCTAGTCATTTTGTGGTTCGAAAAAAATGAGAAACACATCCGGCATTACATCAAAGTGACATTACACATTCAACCAATTTGAAGTGCCCATATAAATAACAAATTTACGATAGTAATTAGAACTTCCAAAAATTCCTAACTTTTTTATTTTTTGTCTGATTTAGTTCAAACTTTGAACAGTCTATTTTTGTTGGCTTTAATTTAGAGTGGTTGGATTTTGCTTTAATCCAAATACATGTATTTGTTATCTGAAGGTTTGCGACCACGAAACAACACACACACAAGCGATACATTATATACCTCTCAACACACAAATATTCAACATAATTTGAACATAATCAACCATTGCAAGTAACTTCTAGATAATTTGGTTAATCATTCAAAATACATGACCACTACTAAATATGACATTTAATTTAACGATAAGAACATCACTTGACAGCAACAAATTACAAGAATACTTTTATTTTCTGTCATACTCCGACATGTATGAGTAAGATTTATTAGCAAACAAGACAAAATCTGCCTCTCCATCACAGTTTCCATACACAAAACTGAAAATATACATCTTCTGGTGTTGCAATGTCAAGCCAAGGGCCAGGGTAATGTCTTCTTTTCTTCTCTCCTTTTGTGTTACTTTGAATTCTGTAGACGAATAAAGCAGTACTAGTATGCAGTAATGAAGAGAAATGAGTTTTCATGGAGAACCATTTCACGAGGACTACATTTTCAAACATCAAAGTCAATTTCAACGTTTAAAAGGAGTAAAGAAACCTTTTTGATTACACAGGGTTTCAAAGCATTATATCATCCACCAAAAGCCACAAGGGCATCAATTCCTATACTTTTATACAGGTTTAATGCTCTTCTGGCTCTCAACAGACAACACAAGCTTGACACTTATACACCATTCCATCTCATAATCCACATATTTCATATTGCATTTTTCAATTTAGTAAGAGACACTACAAACCAAGTGACTTTTTTGTAAAGAGTTCAATTTAAGTTCATTCCTAATAACAGTCAAGAGACTTTTTATAATAAATTTTGCTTATGCAGTATTTCATTTCTTTAGTATAAAGAATTCATATTATATTTCAAATTTATAAATTCAAGATATTGTTTTTATTCCTTCTGTTCTATTTAGGTCCTGAACTCAAGGTCTTTTTCAACAATCAATGACAGTCTTTTCTACTAATTCTATGCAAAGGGGACTTGACAGTCAAAACTTAATGACTCAGCAACTTAGTAGTACTTGACATAATTCAAGAAAATATTATCATACCAAGCAAATTTTTTCTCACTATTGCAGAGGGGGGAATCCCACGCCCACACAATGAACCATTTCCTTGGCCTCGTGACAGGCCACAATTTCCTTCAATTGATGTGGTAACAAATAGTTTTAAAATGAATTGAATCTGAACATTGTTTATTACTACAGTACCATGCCAATTAAACATACAAGGTACTTTGAGTTGCTAATCCTCATACATGTATATTGATCTACCTACCGGTATGAGGATTAGCAGTCTCGAGGTGTACTAATCACCCAACAAAGTAATTTGTATACAGCTAAAGTACAATCAACTTTATGACACTTTTACATTACATTCTATTGGGTAATGGTTAAGGACTATAAATATGAGAATAAAATTAAACCCTAATAATACGACCCAATTCAAACTTGGGTTCTATACAAAGTAGGTACCGATGCATGGACTAGTAAACTGACAAGTCATTATTATGTTAATTGAGAATGTATTTAAAATTTGCTATATCTCTTTTATAGCAATATTTGAAGCTCACATTTTAAATACAGTACAGCAACATGGTATACTTGTTGGTGCTTGGTGCACTTAAAAAGCCAGAGGAGGCTTAATACCAAATATTGTCGTTTTTTCTCATTAATTTCTATGATGTATGTAAACCGAATAAAGCATGTACTGCATCTAGGTTTAGTCCACATTCATATTGATATCAATACATTTTTTTGTTTATTTGATGTTGCAGATCTTTGTTATATCCTTTTAAGAAATTTAAGTTTCTAAATCAATACTACGAAATATTAACAGTTTCCTGTTGATACACAAAATGAGGAAGCTCATTGGAATTTTACATTTCCAAAAACTCTTTAAAGGACAAAGAAGGAAGTCATATTCAGTCAGATTTTGAAAATCCCTGACATTTTATTGATATTTGTGTTATTATTTTCGAAAAGGCCATGACCTCTTCACGAATATTACTGAAATCATAGGGTGAAGTATGAATGTTGCTAATCCATTGACTCGTGTGGTTTACTAGTATTACATGAAAGGGACATATTAAATATCTTAATTTTGAATGTTCTACTTTTTTTCGTCAAATAAATACAAGTTTATGACCAGCTTTAACATTTTGCATTTACTCGTTGGCTACAGAAACTGTGTTTTTTTTGTGATGAGAATTCAGTAACCATCCAGTCCATAAATGATTCAAACATGAAAACCATACACATGCCAGTCATTAATTAGCAATGCTAACATCCCATATTTGTGGAAAGTGTGAAAATAATAAATAATCCATCCATACTGCATATGATGGGGGAAAAAACAACAATTCATTTCATTTTAAACAGTACTTCTAGTTCACCCTTTATACACTCTATTACATTTTTTTCCAAATCAAAATACATGCATGAATATCCAGTGGAAAAATAGAACATTAATGCATTTTTGTGCAAGTATAAAAGACTCTATTTTGCATTGTTTATACATATCAACACATGTACTTCAGGATCTTATATCCACAAGCTACAATACTGCATTTACATGTATCTATAACTGGATGAAAAAGTGGAATGTAAAGTACATCTAAACCCAAAGAGTACAGGAGGAAAACTGAAAAAAGTATCTACATGTATTTGGAAAGACTATGATATGCAAATCGTGCCCAGACAAAAGCTTTGGTCTAACACAACATGGTCCTACACGATCCCTTTACTATATTGCAAACCTATGTGAATGACTACACAGCTAAAAGGGCAGTTTGAATGTCCACTCATCCATTTATCAACAAAATCAAACTATTTTCTATTCAAATTCATGTCTAAAATTAGATACATGTACTAGACATTTACAAATTAACTTCGAAGCATGAATGGGCTATGTATAAATAATAAACAAAAATAAAATCAAAACTGCACATAATGTTACATATTTCATTCGGTTCACTTCAAAACAAATAATACTATACACTATGTACACTTAAGAAGCACAAGGAAATAAATAGGTGCCCATGTTTAAAATCAGAAATGATAAAAAGTAAAATAGGCCTTTCAAAATTTACAAGGTAAAATTTGCCTGAGATTTTGTTTTCTTTGCAGAAGTCTAAAAATATAAAGAGGTTGTGCTCAAATTTAGTTTACTTAAGAGAGATTAAAGTGGCAAGTGCTTTGATTTTCAATGAAAAAGACATCCTTTTATGTCTGAAAGACTGTTAATGTTTAACACTGTCTCTAATGAAGACAAGAGATTTATGAAGTATTAAATATTCTATCAATGCATGATGATTCATATGATGCTCAACTAATTTTTGGATAA